ATTTGAAGTAATTAAAATGGATAATGATGAATCATAAGAAATTTAATTTTAAATAATAAGTTATTCCTCTCCTTTCTCATTTACGATAAATACTAATCGATAATTTCTAATCTTATACAAGTGCAAAGTTCGTCGACAGGTTATAGCTATTTTTTTTAAAATATCAATAGGTCACATAAACAAATTTTATTTAAATAATAATATCTTATAGATTTGTTTTCTATTGAAAAATATTTTGGAATTTATTTTTTTATTTAAGTGCAATTTGTTTTCTTTTATAATTTTTATTTTTTTTTTATACAACTTAAAGATAGAATTTTGTGTTGAATTAATTCTTGAAATTTTAAGGATGCTAAACTTTGTTTAAATAATTATTATTTAAACAATTATATCATACTCTCTTTGTTTTTTATTTAAATTTTTTAAAATTTATTTTCCATTAAGTGCAACTTGTTTCTTATATAATTTTTTTTTATGTTAAAATATATGTACATATATTTTATTTATATAACTTTATATTATATATTTATATATATATTATTTTATTAATTATTATTTTATTATTATACTATTTTATTAAATTATTTTATATAATTTTATATTATTATTAATTAATTATTAACTGGCATTAGGAACATCGAAAGTTCATTGCCGCAAATACCAATTCCCGCCATTGTTCCCGTCTCCCTAATTTTATATTATATATTATATTATTTTATTTATATAATTTTAGATAGAGAATTTTTTCTTCTAATATAATTTTTCAAATTTTAAGCGTACTAAGTATAATAAATAAATTCTATAAATAATATAATATTTTTTAAAAAAATAATTACACATATGTTGCTTGTGTGCATATATTCAATGTTAGTTTCATAACACGTGTTAATATTAAATCAATAATTTAATATCTTTATATATTACTTTTATAATTAGAATATTTTTCCACGAAATTTTTATTACAAACTCATATATTTATATATATATATATATATATATATATATATATAAATAAATTTTTCTTTGATTATCGTACTTTCTCAAATGGTTTGTCCATGACTCTTGGATAAAACCAAACCATACGTTCCCTTCTTACGCATTCTACACCCTTCTAAAGAAGAAGAAGAAGAAAAAGAAGAAGATGAAGTAAAAGGAAAGAAAGTATCAGACGTTCAGATACATACACACAAACACACACACACACACACACACACACACATATATATATACACACATGATACAACTATGGAGCGGTACTTTTATCGCGTTCTCCGGTTGCGTTCGTGTTTGCATGTTTTTGCACTTACCCTTTTACATGGTTTACACATAGTAGCCAAGTTGACGCGGATATATTATCTTTACAGTAACATAATTTTCGCGTGAACGCGATTCGTGCTCAGATTCATGCTTTATTTATTTATTTATTTATTTATTATATTTCTCATCTATCCGTTTGTATTTCATTCGTCCATTGGTCATAAGGTCGAAAGTTGTCAATGTTAAATTTTCTTCATCGTTGAATTTACGATGAAATTAGATTTTACTTTTATAATCTATACAGATAAAAAATTTATCTTATATTTATTATAGATAATAATTTTCTAGTAATCCGACTGAATAATTTGTTCGAGTGATTTTTTTTTTTTTTTCTTTAAAGGAGAAAAAATAATAATAATTGATACCTCCGCGATTTTTTTTGATTACAGAAAATAATAATTTTCTATTAATCCGATTGAATAATATTTCTTCGCGAATAATTTTGTTTTTAATCTTTTGAGTGCTATGGACGCATATATGCGTTTGATAATAATTATTAGCATGGTTGTTCGATGCATATACATGTTTGTTGATATTAATGTAAAATAATGTAATGTTTATATTATTTAATTAAATTATATTTAGAAAACAAAAACTTTCATTATTAAATATAATTTCTTATTAATAAATTATTCCGTTTCTGTAAAACATTTTGGGTAAAAATATTCAGCACTCAAAGGGTTAAAGAAGAATAAATAATTGTGCCCATAATTATGAAAGTGGTCTAAGTCAGGGGCTGGCAACCTTTTGAGTTGGAAAAGTCAAAAATTATAATTTACAAAATTTCAAAGTTTTTAAAGAGCCACAACATTTTTTCGTGCCAACAATAAATAGTACTTGCCTAAATACAGTTTTTTGATAAAAAAAAAACTAATCTATTTATTTATCGGTGCCTAATCAGCGTTAATCGATTGAGAACGATTATTAAGTGTTTTTTTTTTTTTTTTTTTTTTGATAAAATAAATAATATTTGCGTATGGAACTAAAGA